AATATAATATATGTAAGTAAGTAGATACTTTTGGTTATTTAGTTTGATAGTTCAGATAATTTTGATACTTTTGTTCCTCCAAATTACGTATTTTGCCTGTTTCATGGTATTTTGTGTTCAATAATTAAAAGTACTTCGAGTAGGATTCTTTTTGACTTTTGTTAAATTGTATTCACATAAAACCAGAAATTTTAAAACTGTCGCCTCCTCTGATTTAGAGGAATCGAATCTATCTGAATTTGCTTGGCTAATCTCTGTTTCTCATCTTCCCTGGACCTTGCAGCTGCAGCTCGCAGATCTGAAGGGCAAACAGATACTTCATCAGCAGAGACACAGGTTGACGTCAGTTCGTCAAAGGCGTTGTCTCCACCGCAGGCCAGGACGCGTGGACGACTGTTGATGCAGATGTAGTATCGTTGGCAGTCGCTATCTGACCTGAAAAATATCAAACAAATTGTGTTTTATTTTTCTTATTAGATTGGACTTATATTTGGTATCTACGTACAATTTTCAGTTAGACCAGAATCTATCAAAATGAATACAGTACAGAGTCTTAGTACAGAGTACTAAAAAACCGACCTCAAAAGTTCGTGGAATTACATCTATTTGCCAAGTTTTACTGAAATTGGTTATTATAAATTTATCCTCTAGTTTTTCACCCTCTTATATTTTTTTCAAATTTAAATGGGGCCAACACTGAGGTACCCTCTTTCCGACAAAAACATAATCATCAAAATAGATTCACAAAGGCCGGAATTATCGCGTAAACTACATACAAGAAAAAAATACAACCGAATTGAGAACATCCTTCTTTTTTTTGAGTCGGTTAAAAAGGCCTCAAAATAAAGTAACACTTTTCGCTGTTTGTAGGCATTATCCGGATTCTCACTAATTATGATAAATACTAACATATGCATTTACAACTCAGCTTTGAGTGAGGAGGTCTTGGTTTTTTTGGAACCAGTAACCAACGGTTCTGATCTGTGTGCTATAGTTATTGGCCCGGGAGTTAAATTCCATACTCTCATAGTATCTACAAGAAATTTCCTAGTTTAAGATCAGATGGGTAATTTTCAGATTGGTTTCGTCTACCTAATTTCAGTGGAAAACTTTATTATTTGAATATTCTAGAGTATTGTATGAGCCAGGTTTTTTTAAATATACGAGTGTAGTGTCCTGATATATAATTTAATGGATAATGATAATATAATTGATACTTAAATAGTAAAAATTACCACCGAATTTGGGTAAGAAAACTAATCTGCAAATTAGCCAGAGGCGGATACGTAGATTAGGTATGTTAGATAGTATATTAGATATACTAAATTTATTACTATCATATAGAAAACACTTATAAGGTAGGATTTATTCAATGTCTTGACTAAATCGTGTTGATATGTGTTTGCGAGCACTTAGCGTAACTGCACATTATTATTGGTTAAATGAAAAGCATAAAATTACCTGTAATTTGTATTGACGTACGCAAAATAATATAGAGAATAGCAAGTAACCTTTAATTTTAAACAGTTATTTTAAATACGTACTTGTGGGGTTTGATAGGTACCTAAGACTAGAAGTTAAATAGGTAGCATAAGTAAATTTTCTTATATTGTCAGAACGTACAAGGTCTTTCTAAGTAAGAATTTTGGTGGTTGACAACAGTTGTAATTAGACTTTTGGAACTAATGCTATATTGATTTTGAGTAATATGTATCAATTTATACCACTTAAGGTTTATTTTCTTACAATAATATGATTTTATATTTGTATGTAATTTGAATTTAAAAGGTGTGATGGTTTATAGATAACAAATAGTGAAGATATTCAAAACGTAATAATACTTTGTAACTAACAATAAATTTGTATATACAGGGTGGAAATTTGTAATGCCACCTGGAGGGAAAGTACTCTAAATACTGGAGATAGAAACTTTTACTTAAAGGAAACATTCCTTTATTTTTTAAAAGAAATAAAACTGCAAAAAAAAAATTCATAGATTTTCGAAAATTTCTAGCAACACGCGGGAATCGAACACTGTTCTAAATCAATATAGACCTAAAATACAAGAAGTGTCGACACGATAAGAAGACGGGTACAACAACCTGTGATATAGATACCGCATCTATAGATATGTTCTACTTTCCAATAAAATAAACTCAAAAACGAATCTTGCATAAGTACGTTAAAGTGTAAGTTCAACTTTTGTACTGTTGTACAGTAGATGCCCTAAGAACCCCCTTAGTCGATCTTTTGATTCTGAGAGCTTTCTTACGCATTCAGAAGGAAAGTGCCAAGGAATTCCAGCTTTTTGGTTAAAAATTGTATTTATGAAATGTAATTAAAGATCTAATTGGCTTAAAAGTTTCTTAGATCGTCATTCATTGATGATATAACAAGGAAGTCATACCAAAATGAATTTCACGGCTCACAGACTAAAGGGTAAATTTGTATAGCACCTTTCATCACACTGATCTACTCAGAACCAAATAAACGGTAAAGGGGGTCAGGTGTCTTAGAACATCGACTGTACTGCCTTTTATATTAAAACAACACATTACATTACATGATTCACACCAGTGGCATTTCTGATAAAACAAGACTACGTAACCTCAAGGTTATTCGTCCGCTCTTCTGCTTGACATTTACATCTTCGAAGCGACCGGTCGTGATAGATTATTAGTGACCGGTCATTTATCCGATTAAACTAGAAATTCATTATGTTAACATTATTTCTTGATTATCATGGCCATTGGTTTTTAACTTGTTTTTATGAATTTCGTTACCTCTAATTGTCAATTTGATTAAATTCTTGTCACTAATGTAAATATTATTTTCAAATTTGATGCGACCTCGTATTTCACTTTTGGGTTTCTGTGATACATTGCAAATTGATATTTTAGGATTCTCAAGGTTATTATTAAATCATTATCTCTAATTACAGTTGTCTTAGCGGTGACCATGAAGTGTGACACTACACTAAAATATCGGGAGAAAAAGCCTATTGTTAAATAACGCTTTTTCTACCGACTTCAAAAAAAGGAGGAGGCGCTTCCCAGACGAGTCCCATGTAAATTGAAGAAAATATTCCATCTCTAAGGGTGGCAATTTCCGGTAACCGATTTCAATAAAATTTGGCAAACAAATTTAATTCAACGAGCTTTTGAGATTGGTTTTTTCAGTAGTCTGTACTGCGATTTTTTGAGAACGTTTGATGGTGACAGAGAAGGTGGAGGGGAAGAGACCGGGGGCCAGGAGTCCCAAAAGGTGGTCGGATTAGATCTCCGAACAACTGGAGCTACTTTTCAGCGCCACACTACATCATGCGACTGAGCGGAACCAATGGAGGCAAATTGTGGGCAAGATGAAGTGGAGTCACGATCCTTAGCAGTGAGGAAGCGATTAAGAAGAAGAAGTACTGAGATTAGAGCCCCTCGTGGTAAGCGACACGCCTATCCATAATAGTTGCAGTGCCACTCAGAACTTTAATTCGTAAAGATCTGAGGGCAGTAAATACACTGCGCCCGTCACCCTGAGACATAAGTAAGGTGGGAGTACTTCCCTGGACGAAATCTTTCGCAGGAGCTCTACTGCTATTAACTTTAAAATCAATGAGTAAGTATAATTAATAACTCAGTAATTTTGTTGCCCAGCAAGTACATTATGGTGCCAATAAGGCATAACACTGAAAGGTATGAGAGGTGACATTAATAGATGTTGCTAATATTTAAGTTCGATCATCATTGGCTATATTAATTAAAACTATTTAATATTTGGAGGCCTAAAATTGCATATGTTTGTTTATAGTTTCAAACAAACCTTTATTTCCGTCTCTTTGGTCCCATGGTTACTAGTGACAAAGATGAACCAAAATAGTTTCATTTCCAATAATCTTTTCATTCCATAAATATTAGTTATGTACAGCTATAATTATCCGATAAAATATTACAAAAAGTCGTCAAGCGTTTTAGCTTATCAATTGTTTGTAATTTCGTTACTTAAATACATATTTATGCACGTGATTGTGTCATTATAATGAGGTTACCATCTGCGGTGGCCTGTGTGGAAGTCCTTAAATCGACTCCACACTCAGGTAGGACGCTGCAGAGACACGATGTGTAAATGGGGTTTCTGGGAAGCTAGTCTAACCCAATGTGACTGCGGTGCCCCAACACAGTCCATGCAGTACTTACTGTTGTGCCCCTTGTTTCCTAATACCTGTATGAGGGAAGATCTCTACGCGGCCACGGACAGCGTAGTCTAGGTAGCAACGTACTATTCAGGGTCAATATAATCCTAAAATAAAAGAAGTAACGAACCGATAACAAGATTATGAGGAGTATACCTGTAATATCTGTAACCAGCAGGCGGTCCAAGTTCTCTAGATTCTGGCACTGCGGGACAGCGGAAGCCGAGGAAAGCTGAAAGTAAAGAAGATGTTAAGTAATTTGAAATTACTTTAGCACACATCCATGTGGAGTATTTAAAGTTATAACTTTTGCTGTTGTGGTTACTCAGTACTTTCTTTTTTTTATGATACCATGTGACGGGGCGAACAAATAGTGCTCTTGGTGGTAAGCGACACGCCTGTTTTAAGTCACAAAGAAAGTCGTTTACCACCAGGCGAACGAACAAGTCGTGTGACTTGTTTGTTCATCACATGGTACCATAAAAAAAATCACGGATACCAATCCTGGATGGTTAGTGCATTTTTGAGCAAAAATCCAACAAAGATCATTATTTCATTACCTTCAGCATCGCAATCAGCGACCTCATCAGGCCATTCACAGCGGTAGGTCTCGGAGCTGAATGCTAAACCCTCGGGACATGTGAAATCGTATGCTACGCCATTCACGCAGTTCCGGAAAGCGCTGCAGTTGCGAGCGTCACCTAGTTTGAAATATCCGAACTGGTGGGGACAATCGTCAGTTGGTTGAGCAGGCTCTGCAAAGACGTTTTAAAGTGTCATTAGTTGTCAGTAAACCACAAATTACCAACATTATCATTTTTCTTTCTTCTCTAACGAAGGAGGAAAATACTTAATATTTAAATATTATTGTTGTCTATTCAAATAGACTCAAGTGCTATTATGAAAAAGGTCACCAAGCACGTTTATAAAATTCTATACGCAGGTCAATCTAAGGACAATAACTCTACCATCACTCCATATACTGTCATCGGCAACGTATGTAATCTGGTATTCTATACAATACTTAGGCATTCTGTATAATACTTAAAAAAATGTGAGTGTATGAAATAAACTATATATTACGCTCTTGGTCTAGGTACTATACAATGCCGAACATGCATTAGGCAATATACAAAATTTGTTAATGGAAGTTGCACAAAGTAATGTGATAAAAGAAGTGCTTGTGTGTTAAAAAGGTAATTAGAAGATTTGGTAGGTAAATTACAAACGATATTTTTTTTTTAAAAACCCTATTTTTATATAATATTACCTACACCACAAAATATTTTAATATTGTAGTAGCAACGAAAACTGATAATCTAAGCATGCAAGCAAAGCTGTTATATTAAGTGATCTCATGTCAGAATGTAAAGTAGGAACATTAGTTTTTCTTTGTTAGAAGCATAGAATGTTTAGCTATGGTTAAAAAAATATTATCGATACCAATTTATAATAATTATCGATCCAGCTCAGAAACGCAAAAAAATTCGGTTTTTTCATGTTCTAACCTAATCAATAAAAAAAACCCACAGGAGGGGTTTTTTTTCTCTTTTATTTAATATTTTGCCACATCTATGCAAAGAAGCCCAGTATTGTATAGAATGACTAGGTATTCTATACAATCACTGAATTATACACATTACTGTTAACACTATACAAAACTTTATTATTCTGTTCCAAGAATTACGTGATTCTGGCATTTCCACTTGGCCGACCTTGCAGCGTCTTTACAATTAACCTTGTCCTTTCTACTTGTCTCCGCGTTTCTATTTTATTTTAGAAATAGCTAAAAAATAAACAAGAATCATTCTAAAATAAGTCCTAGTTGACTACATAAAGAAAGAGAAGTAGAATAGTAAAGTTTTTTGTGAGAGTAAGAATTCGGTAAGTTTCTTATGAAAATAAAGAAATTTTTTCACGTAGTTCGTTTTTTTATGACTTTCATGCCATAAAAGCTCTTCTCCAAGTGAATTGTTGTTCTTAGAATTTGCGATCGGAATTTTATAAATTTACTTGATGACTTTTAAAGGGCAAACAGGTAGTTCAACTCAGATTTAGCATAAAAAGGTGTTAATAATATAGGTACATCATAATTTTGAAGTCTTATTAACTACTACTAACGACTAGACATGTTGTTTAATTACATAACGTAAACGGTTGATAGTCTAGTAGGTGTAACTCTGATTCTTTGATACTAGATAAAATTCATCATTTATACGTCCCACTGCTGGGGACGGTCTCCTGCGGGTCTCTTCTCGGACCATGGTTTAGGCTATGGTCCGCGTCGAAGGCCCATGCGGGTTGGGGACTTCAGACGATTTCCGAGGGTAGTGAACCTTCTTCGACGTACAGGTTTCATTACGATGTTTTCCTTCATCGAAAAGCTCATGGTATGTTTCAAATAAAATTTCGCCCATAAATTCCCAATAATTCAGAAATGCGAGCCCGTTTTCGAACCCACAGCCTCTCCTTGAGAAGCGGTGGTCAATCAATCAAAGCCTAATGGCTATCACGGTTTTTATGGATGAAAATCGCATTATTGTATTACCTACATGAAAAACTTTAGTTGGATGTAAGATATAGACGTTGAATAACAATGTCAACTTACGTAAAGAAGAGCGTTCCAAACAGGGTACCTCGTTAGGGTACTGACAAGGGTAAACATTGAAGTTACTATTGGCGTTGAATCGAAGACCATCTGGACAAGTTTTTTCTTCTGCTGTTCCATTCTGTGTAACAAAATTAAAATTTGGTATGGTTTGTAGTGGTTGTTAAATGTACCCTTTCAATCGCGTATAAAAACTACACTATCTTTATACGTGATTTTACTACACGCATTCCACATTAGGTGAATTAGATAGGTTTTGAAGGGTAATGCTGGTGAAAATACAGGCACATGGGACTTGTCAACTTATGTCTCAGGATGAAGGGCGCGGTGGTAGTGCTCCTCAGATCTTTGCAATTTAAAGCTCTGAGTGGCACTGTAACTATTAGGAACAGGCGTGTAGCTTACCATCAGGTGCTCGACTTGTTCATCCCGTCACTTGCAGTTATTAAAAAAACAAATATACGAGCTGATATATTATTTAGCTTATATTATTGACATACCAACAAAGCGGTTGCTTCTCCTTCATAATTGTATTCCTCGTCATAAATAACTTAGATCTTTTCAAGGTGAAAGTGAATGCTTTTTCATACCAAACAGGCGCCTTTGTGGACTACATCAACACTTCCAATATATCTCTTAAAACAATTCCCAATTCCGAGTGTCATAGAAGTACTAGTAAATCTATTTGGGCGCTGGGTAAAACTGGGTATTTTAAATAGATAAAAAGTTTATTCAGAACAAACATAAGCAGAAACAACAAGGTATGACACTAAAGCACATAGAAGGGTAATTTTCAGGCTAGTTTTGTTTACCTAATTTCGGTGGCAATTTTTATTATTTGAGTATGCGAGTAGTGGAGTAGATTATTGTTAATTATTAAATCACTTTTCAGGATACTACATTCGAATATTAAGTAACACTACTTCATGGTACTTAACATTCTAGAATATTTAAATACCAAAAATTGCTACTATAATTAGGACGAGAACACTAGCTTGAAAATGACCCCGAACATAAATTAGTACACATTGATATAATCACTTATTTGTAGAGAAAAACATAAATTTTATACTGGTCATACCATTTGCAACAGTTTGTGTTTAAATGGCCCAGACTCAGCATAAATACTGTAAATTATGTCAATCAAACAGCGCTGATTTTCTGCCAGTACCATATGGTGAGCGATCGCACCCCAGTAAACTCTGACACTAAAGAGCATTCATTACACGCATATACATATAACTCCAATATTGTATTATATATAAAGTATGTTACATATTCGGTCGAATGTGGTTAGTACTAAAGTAAATAATGTAAGTGGTGTAAGTAATATAATATGAGGTATTTTGTTGTTATACTTTAGAATAACGCCCTCGTTTAGTGTAATGTTATTATAATCGTCATTCAAATGGACAATGTTAGCTAATGTTATGGTATTCTACTGGAAGATTTCTTGTAGAAGGGATGCACCACTATAAAAACACTTACTGATTAGTAAATATCACGTAAATATAGAGCCAAAATAAGTACAGTCATCAACTTGCTAAAAAGAAGCAAACTTAATAAATAAAACCATATATGATACTGAATTTTACTTACAATACACTCGATGTATCTGTCACAACTTCCTGAAACAGGACTTCGTTCATTGCTCTCCCTGCAAGATCCGACACTCTGTCTTGCTGATTGCTGTTGATACTGGTTTTGTTGGTATTGATTTTGTTGGTATTGATTTTGTTGGTATTGGTTTTGTTGGTATTGATTTTGTTGATATTGATTTCTTGGTGTCCCAAACGAGCTTTGTTGTTGACGCTGGATTCCAGAATTTCCGAAGGAACTTTGGCCAAACGATGATTGGAATTGATTTTTAAATTGCGCGTTTGCTGTTAAAAGTAATAAAAAGAACGTTTGAAATTATTTGTAGTTATATCAACGAACTTGCGTCCCATTGTTGCGTGCGGTTCTCTTCTGAAAAGAGGAAGTATAACAATAATATTATATAGTAAATGAAACTATTTTCCCGGATTTAAATCGCGTATATTTGTTTTTTCAAACAAACCAAAGTTTCGGGCCCTTTACAGGTCTCATGGTCACGGTTGACGTCAAATCCGAAAAAATAGTTTCATTTACTATGTGTAACAATAGCGAAAACCTAAGAACTCAGTAATATTATAATCAATTGTTAGAAATAAATAAAAATAAAAGTATTTTCACCTCACTAGCTCGGGAAGCCTTTCTTTCTCATTAGAAATCTGCGCGGAAAAGCGTTTTTTGCACGCTAGCGTGGAAAAAGTTTTTGAAATTCGAGCTTAACGATGGACTGCGGTGCACCAAAGTTTTTCTTTCGATGAAATAAAAGATAATGACACGTTCAACTACGCGATTTGTCATACGTTACTTATTTAAGTAATATATAACTAATTGTGTTTATTAAATTGTTTTAATACACCGAAGAACTAAAATAATTTCAATAATCACACAAAATTATAAGTACAAACAAGAATAAAAATTGATGAGGTGTTAATTCAGAACGCATCCGAAGATATTTTTTTTTCTTTTCATTGAAAATACTGAAGTTTTATAGTTCAATTGTTTTTCTTTGATTTACCATTTTCCTCGCTATAGTGAGGTGAAAAGTTGTGTATTTCGCTCGGCCTAAAAAAACGTCTCGTGCCTAAAAAAACCCTCGCTACGCTCAGAAAGCTTTTGCTTCCTTCGCTTGCTCAGGTTTCAATGCAAGCACTCGCGTCAAACAACAACTTTGCAGCCTTGTATAACAAATAACTATTATTTATGTTCTGTAAACTTAATTTACAGCAAGTTGGCTAGGAAACTCCTTTTAAGCAAAATAATTATTTGTGCTAGGAGACCCCGCTCTTCCTAGTTAAGGTTCTGTGACCAGGTAAGTTACAGCTAGTTTATTATATTAGTTAATTAATTAAATTAAAATACAAAGGAAATAGTGTACTTATAATCATTGGAGGATAAATCCACGATTTACCACGCAGTATAATGTCCACTTTTTTTGGTGAAACATCTGATTGCTGATGTCGGTTGTACCTGTATGAGCTTAACATATATCCAACAATTATTGAGAAAGAAACCTACGAAAAATTTGTTCAATACACTTTTTCCTAATCCCGAATATGTATATACTTCAATTTTGAAACAAATGTTAGTTGTGCCTTTTTTGTTCCGAACTGCAGAATGAATACCGGGAATTTTCTTCGTCAAGCACTTTGCCTGTCATACCTTCTATTGATAATTCTAAATGTTTTCATGTTTCCTTAAGGCAATATTGCATTGCATATGATTTTAAACTGGGAATTTTTAAATATTCACAACCTCGTAGGACTCTATTACTTACATCATAAACAACAATTTTTCTTTCCCGAATTTTAATATTCATCAAATTTTATTTTCAAACAAATATAAAAATATTTAAATATATCGCTCTAAACGGAGATCTGGTAACAAAGAAAAGCGCTAGCGTAAATACTCAGTCTGATGCAAAATACAGACACAGGGGTAGAGGTAGGCAATTGTACTTTGAACTTATTACCCTGCTACCATAATAGACCTAAAATTATCAGATAGTGCAACAAAACCTACAAGTTTATTTTTGGTAAATTTATAATATTTTATTGCTCTTGAGTATGATGTTAGTATAGTCCAGGGAAGTTGTTAGTATTTTACAGGTATTTCACCCTGTATTTCATCTTCGGCAAATAACACTAAATGAACATAATATATTAAAATTGTATAGATAATATATATGCAAATTTGTTGACGTCCTCTGCGTTGAAGGTTAACCCGAGACGCAGACTGCATTTGATTTAAAAATGGTGACATTGGTCGAAATATGTAAATATTGCTCTGAGGACCGTAAAATGCGTACACGATAATGGTGAGTGTTTTTATCATCGCTCAATCGGATTTGTCTCGTGAGTTTGGGTGTAATTTGTGGTTGTCTATATGTGTGTCCATGGCACCCGCGACACAGGGTTTCCCTAGTGCGGGGCTATGTTGAGTGTGTGCGTTATATTTATTTATTTTTCTTGATTTATAGGGGTCCCAACATTAAAGGTTATAGGTATTTATTCGTGCTAATGGGTGGAATTACCTCTTTTCGGGTGTAACTCTTTCGAATTAACACCTTATACAACAATATATCCTGTTTAATATTTTGAAATAATTTTTGTATGGAGGTATTTCTCTTTAAATTCAACAGAGAACCTGAAAAATTTTTGTTTTTCCACTGAAGCACTATAGTTATCAAATTCATATTTATCCCAAAACTTGAAAATTGCCCAGCGCTTTAACAACACACCGCGCCGCTCGTTGTCCCTTCATTCGCCATCGGGCGCTTGTCAACGTTGGATCCTTTGATATAGAAAAAAAGGGTTGGATCTGTGTCAAATTTTCTCCGCCTGTTCTTATTTTATTCAAACTAATTTTAAGAGAGCTGATTGCGGGATGCGAGAGGCATCCCCACACCTCACTTCCAAAAGTCTAGGCTCGCGTTGAAATACGCCATAAACTTCATTCAACAAACTTGTTTTCGTTCATCTGAATAACGAAACATCGTTTTATTCAGACAAACAAGTCCTTAAACATCGTTTATGAATTGTCAACAATCATACGATCCCTTTCTTTTATGTACAAAAGTAAATGGAGTCTTTACATATCTTATTTACAAATTTATTTAAAAAGCTTTATCGTTTTATAAACCTTCCTAGTAAAAAGTTTATTTTTAGAATCGCCTCACTAAATCTCTCCGTCAAGATTGCGCTTTGACATGCGTGAATGCGTCCTGCTGACGTGATGCGAATTTCGAAATGTGCACACCTCGGGTATTTACCACGTTATTGGTCATTGGCGTGCTGTTTTGCACATTACTTAGTGCATATTTTGTAACTTAGAGAACGGTACATACAAGAATCATTTTAATTATGCAAGTCTAAATGTAAATGATGAGGCCCTTGTTAGATTTTTGTTCTTGATATAGAATTTTAAGTATATTCGGATTCATATCGAGTTCTTAGGTTTTCGCGATTGTTATACAGGAAATGAAGCTATTCTTCTGGACATAAATCGCGTATATTTCTTTTTTCAAACAAACCAATGTTTCGGGCCCTTTACAGGTCCCATGGTCACGGTGTCATCCCATGGTCAACCCTTTTTTTTTTTTTTTTGACCATGGGATCTGTGAACGGCCCGTAACGTTATTTTGTTTGAAAAACCAAAAATACGCGATTTAAGTCCGGAAAAATAGTTTCATTTCCTATATTTAGATTTATGAAAACACTTTCTAATAATATTTCAGCTCTAAATAAATAATCTAAAGATCATACTTTTCTGTAGCTCTGCATTTAAGTACACAACAGAAATACTGCAGATAATGAGCAGTAGTTTATATACAAGCTTATTTGTAAAATACTAACAATCTCGCAGGACTATATTACTTACACCATAAACAACAACTTTTGTTCCATGCCTTATAATAAATAACTCATCAGCAATAATCGGAATTGAGGGAGTTAATATCGGGAAAGTAGACCGATCTGGAAAGTTGACGAAATACGAAATCGACGTATTGTGTCAAACAAGTGGACCGAATAGAAAGTAGACGAATAGTGACAGTGGACCGATCGGGAAAGTAGACGAATTGTACCGAGGGGGTTAATTTAGTTAAACTAAAGAATAACGTGAACATTCCCTTTTACAAATCCCGGGTTTTCTCGGAACTTATTATATTTTAATATGCGTATTATATATTGAAATTTGAGTAGGTACATTGGCGACAAACTATTATTTCCTGTTAAATATTTGCTACAAATTATTGACTCAAAAATAATATTGTAGTTGTTTTTTATAGGTAGATACGTGTTTAAATACTTTAGCAAATATTAATAATCTATATTTTGACATGTTTAAAAAATAAACAGAAAAAAGAATTACAAATACGCATTGATGACGAAATGGGTATAATGTCCATACTAAGAAAACGTTCGTACTTTAGATCAATTAACTCCCTTAATTTCAATCACAGCTCATCAGATTTTACTTTCCTACTAAAATAAACATGTTTAAATAAAATGCTCTAAACAGTGACAACTCAGTGCGGTACGATGCAAAACGAGCATCGGGAATAGCGGAGCAACCATTACTACCAAAGACAGATCTAAAAAGTGTCAGTTACGTTGTACAACAAAAACAAAAACTTTATTAAAGTACCGGCACACTATGATGGCCGTTTTGTCAGATTACAATAGTAAGGTGAAATCTCAATTCATTTTCGAAAAAAATATAATCATGTGCGAGTCGCATCTATAAGTTTTTAACAATAATGCAGTAACAATATCCAAAATCCAAAGTCAAATTAAAACTATACATTATCACAATCACAGTTTGTTCCGCAAACCACATAAATACTAGTAATAGACTGATTAGTGGGCGAAGTCCGCGTTAGCTTATCACCAGACGGGCATATGAGTGTCAACAGCGCGTCTGTCGTCGTCCAAATGTGATACATGATTATTTTGTGGATAAAATAGAAATATGTCGAATTGTGCAATTATATCATGTCGCCTAAGAAGCCAAAAAGTTAAAAAATAAAAGTTTAAAAAATACTCCGGGAGTGATGTCATTTCATCGGTAAGTACTAAAACTCTGTATTTTCTAATATTTTCAACAATACAATACTATAATTTCGAAACAAAACTATTTTCTTGCAACTCGGTAATAACAATATACATTGGTTGCTAGCCGTCAAAAGAACAATTTTAATGACGTTCAATGAATTGCTTGCACTAGTGTCGTATTACACTTGGTACTGGGTCCGCGTGTTGTAATCAAATTATCGATATGTAGAAACTGTGTATTTAGAAACCCGGGTTTGGTTTAGTTCAACTTTTTTTTTATCATGCTGTACCAATGTGTAAACAAAAATTGTTTACAGGTATTTAAAACACAATTTTGATTACTTAAATGTTTGGTCCCAACACTAGCCATACTTTTTTAAATTTTCAATTTAAGTAAAAACGATATATTCATGAAAAAAAAAAGAAATATAGATAGAAGAGGTATAGTGTCGCTATTTTTACAATGCACGTAAGTTCGTGGAGTATCAAATGAAGACTTTATGAGATTGGAGATTTTCTTTCCCTTATCTACATGATTCCTATCTCCCTACTTGCTTATTATACGTCACCTTCGTCCGCTTGAGTTCTTAGTTTTATCACAGTCATGATTTACTTTTCAGTTTTTGTATTGATTTTTTTAGTTTCCCATCGGATCCTTTTCAAAGGAGAAAATGGCAACAGAAAATAAGAAAATGGAAAAAAGCAACAGGCCGTAAAAGCTGGGTACCTACTAAATGCAGCACCATTTGTTATAGGCATTTCATGACATCACATTAAATTATATACATATGAATAAACACCGAAAAATTCATTAAGAAATAAATAATTTGGTTAATCAGGTAATGTACGACATGAAACACAGAGTTGCAAATTATAGACCACATCTAAATGTGAAAACATTTCTGAAGCATTGTCAGTTATTTTTCGTCAAGTTTTCATGAAACAAATAATACGCTTCTTCGCCTTCGGAAATAAGTATCTTCATTTTCTTGACAAGCTCGTCGACGCTATAGCTGTAGTCATGTTCAGTCAGTTCAGAAAGAGGTAATTGTTGAACAAATATATCATATTTAAGGGAGAATAAAGATTTTTATGATGACTGTGTTTTAATATTTCAACCCTTCCAGTGATCGCATTGACTGGAAATCTAGTAGGTTAATGAAAGTACGATGACAGTATAATAAATCATTAATACTGTGATTGTAGCATGTAACTACGTATACGCACACGCTTGCGTAGCTAATATCAATTAATATTTGCGTGTAGTAAAACCTTATGCGTTTGGTAACAAATGTGTGAGTGTAAAAGTCAGCTATGCTAGTTCTCGAAGAAATTGCTTTAAATGCCGTTTCTATATACTTCGTGATTAACCCTAATTATAGCAAATATAAAACAATGCGTATAGTTCAATATTCCGCTAGTTATGAAACATAATGTCGATATCAATCAAATGTCACATCCCTATCTATAGACTGTCAACTTTTGCTTTTGTTCCAAGAAGTTTATGTTCATAGGATTCTTAGTTTTTATGTGACTAGTAATAATAAAACCTTATTAGATCCAAATAAGTTTAAATTTTTTTTACCAATAGTTTTTTATTATTGTCTATTTTCGTTTCATAATTTATAACCAATCAAAATTATGTCATCTTAGTACTAATGTAAGATTACGTTTTCAAATGTGTGCGTGTGGCGACACCGGTTTTTATACAAATATTGCTTGATGCCGTTTCCATTCTTTTCTTTCTTCCGTGGTTTGTTCTTTTCGAAGCAACGTCAATTCGAAACTGCTTTGTTATGTTTTGCATAGAGCTTTGACACGAGTTTGACCGGAGGTAGAAGTTGTGCGATGCTATAAGTGATTTCGTTTTTAAAAATTTCGAATTTCAAAAAAACAAATGCCGAGCTGTGTCTTAAAATTATACATACATAAATTTTACTGCACATCACATACGAAACTTAATGGGCGGAGAAACGTCAAAACGGCCATCATAGCGTGCCGGTACTGCAAATTAAATATGTATGTTTTGTAAAAAGTCATGGAACAAAAGTTACTGTTTATGATATTAGTAACATAATCATGCGAAGTTGCTAGTATTTTACAAATAAATATGTAATACTCTTACGTGTGTTGAGACCGAAAAATCTAACCAATCTTATTATTTAGGAGATTGTAAAACTTTCAATAGAATATTTGATTTTTTTTAATTATGAGACGTCCAAATTTGTCTAACTAGAGATCAATAAGCAGTCTATTTTGTATCATGTATACAATCCACTGATAATATCAAATTACATACAATTATATATCTGACATAAGTAGACAATAATAGACATGATAATTTGTCGTGTAAGTTAAACAAATAATTCTCCAATCAAAAAGGAAACATAATTTAAATGTCCATTGTCTTCTTTGAAATCCATTTGCTAATTAGAAATTAATTGTTCAATTGTTCTATAAGCACTCACCCGTGGATAATTTAATTCATTTTTTTTGTTTACAAGCTACACCTCGTTAGAAACCATTTTGAAACGAAGTCTTTTTGTTATCGTGATATTGAATAATAAAATAATTTGGCAATTATCTTGTTTTTTAAAGGTACTAGGTACAACACAAAAATTAGTATTAAAGTCGTTCTAATATTTATTAAAAGTGCTTTTTTATTTTAAAATACATTTCTAGCAAAATAATAAAATTATTCAATTAGCGTACCTGTGAACTGATATTTAGAAGAGTAAATCATTACTTACCAAGAGCGCAGAGGCACGCCAATACCACTAATAAAAACTTTGCCATAGTAAGCACTAATGTGTTACTCCAGTATGTAGGTTTTTAAGGCAACACGTTCGCACCAGCTTTGGCGCGTCTCACGAATGGCAATGCGCTAGAGTTCGGAAGACCTTGGAGACAGAAACGTTGAGAAACACGGACTCATCTCCGCCGCACCCATTCTGTTACGAACCGACCATCTGACCCAATGTATTGAGGCAATGTTTCTTTTGACCTTTTACATCTGTTATGACCAGGCATAAAACCTAGTACACTGTGTTGTTTTATGATACTAAGTGACGAGACGAGCAAATTGTGCGGCAGGTAATAACGTGCGACACGTCTGTCGATAGCAGTGCAGTGGCAGTCTGAGCTTTCAATCGCATGAGGTACTGCCGCTGCGCCAGTCAACCTGAGACATAAATTGACAAGTTCCATGGGCCTGTAACTTCACTAGCACCCTTAAAGGAGCTCTACTGCTATTGGGTTGGGGACTTTAGACGTTTTCCAATGATTATAAACGTTCTCTGATGAATAGATTTATTTCATCACAATGTTCTTCTTCATTGTTTGCGACAAATATGACTTTTAAACATTCGAACAAAAAAATATAGATTTTTTTTATATACATTTTTATTGACTGTCATGTATTACTACCAAGATCGAACACAAAGAAAAATTTCTTCGAACATGAATACGGCGACAAAAGCTGAAAAAACCCAATACAAAAGATGTGTTACAAACACGCAAAGAAATTCATAAGGTCTGCTTCTTCGATCTGTAGCTTAAATGGTATAGCGGTGGCTCTAGTTTGGCATACAGACACAGGTTTGAGTCCTGTCAGACCGATGGAATTTTTCTTTGTGTTCGATTTTTGTATTAACAAATTATTTAAATTTATACTTCGAATTACAATGCTTTTCATCTAAATACGCTACCAGGATAATAATAGTTTCGCACCACAAGTAAATTGGTAAAAGATTTCAAAAGAAGATATTTTCTTTTTACTCTGCTCTATGTGAAGTTCAAGCAATATTGCTTAAGGTGCAGTCGTTTTACATAACAAATTAATATCGATAATGAAACGTTGGTTTCTTTACATTGTGGTAGGTCAAAGTCGATTCTAAGATTAACATTTCATCAAACAGAAAGTGATTTAATTTGACCTTCGTTTTTAGTTTAATTTTTTTTCACTAAATTTATTCGTAAACAAAGTACGTGTTACGCATTTATTGTCTTTTGAAATATGTAAACGAATGTAATATGAATAACATTATATTACATTACATTATTCACCTCAATTATGTACGTAAGTAGTGGTAGAGTACTAAAAAGGAGGCAAAATTGTAAAACTAGATATAATTTAATTTTCACGTCAATTTTCAAATAAAAACCTGCGGAGTTATCGCGTCACATATATACATACAAAAAAACATGCAGTCGAATTGAGAACCCCACCTTTTTTGAAGTCGGTTAAAAATGAAAGTGTACTTACGTCTTAGAGGACGAAAAAAAATAAAAGAAACTTACGTACAAGGTCAAGAGCACGTCAAGCTGGACACTTAGTATTTCGACTTCTCCTACGTAAGCTATCGTAAGCCTTTATTGTAGCAATTGCGGCGTCATTGAAGACATTTACCACGTTTTGATGGAATGAGTTCGGACCGAGAGACTCAGGAGACAGTTGGGCAGTATAGTTAACATACGGCAGACTGGGTGGTGTAACAGTATACTGGCCGTTCCGTCGTCGAACGAAGCCAAAATACTGTACAAAATATATTTAGATAGTCTTAACCTAGGTTAGATGTATAAATTAAGTAGCATTACGGAGCGACATTACTATTAAAATACACAGTAAAGCTCCTTAAATTTAGATTAAAAAAAAACCTATCGTAAGCCACAAAAATTGCACCCCCCATGGAATAATGGAATACATCAAAAAATTTTTTACTGTAATAGATACAGAAAAATATAACCCACATACTCTCCAATTCTTGTAACTCTATCGACTAATATTATAGATAGATTTAGAAAAATTGGAGAGGATGTGGATTAATAAATCACTTTATTTTTATGTAGGTCTATTGTACCAGCAGTAAAATTACAAAGCTTGAGTAATAATTTAACTTGCGACAAATTTAATTGCAATACCTGAAAAATCGCAGGTATTATGTTCGTTTTTGCCCTTTCAACATATTTGAAACGTTACCCTGTATGGTTTTGAATTTGGGTTTACGATTCTTAACGTAGGATCGATTGAAATTCAACAAATGTAAGAACAGACTAAACTCGGAAATGTCAAACTTGTGTGTGTGTTCTTGCCTGCACCATGTCGGTCTTTATAAAGTGGTATATTAATTTTGCATAATTTACGTTTATTCATACTTCAAGATAACATGCCCGTTTGAAGGATAGCCTAACAATGTACAACCGGCATATAGTCTTCAGTGTCCTTCGTCGATAGTCATGATCGTGGTATCCGGCTCGTAGTAGGGATCCAACTTGAGCGAGCCCGCGATTTCTTTTATGACAAATGCTGACTTACGCGGGGTGCGAGTGCGTTCCGTGCTCTCGAAGTCTACTTCGTACAAGCCGAATTTCTGTCTGTTGAAAAACAAAATTCAATTTTTTCACTTTCTGTTTAACTACTGATTTACGACGCTCATCAACTGTTTCTAAATAGAATATAAAAGCAAAATATGCTTTTATTTGTTGATAGGCCTTACACCAGATCCTTACCTAAAGGTTTAAAGTTGACTGTGAATATAATTATATTTGTAATTCCAAATCAAATCGGGTAACACTGATTATGAAATTCCTGGCTGCCAGAAGTTTAAATAGATAACACAATTCGTGGACTTTGGAAGATTTTTGGGCACTTGATATAAACTAAAGGCAATATTTTAACATTCAATGCATCAAACAATCGTTAAGAAAAAATAATTAATTACTTCAAAAATAATTCAAGCTTACGTGTATCCAGACAGCAATTCAAAGTTGTCCATCAAAGACCATGCCGTGTACCCTCTAATATCAGATCCTTCTTCAACAGCGTCTAATAGAGCATCAAGATAGCCTAAGTAGTACTCGACACGGGCATTATCCTCCAAACCCCCAGTCGTAGCAAAACCATTCTCAGTGATGTAGACAGGAGGATTGTTGTATTTCTCCCTTATGTATGTCAAGAGTTTGTAGAAGCCCCATGGCACGTCCTTATTTTAGAAAACAAGTTGTTTAATTACTCGACATAAGTTAATAAAACCTTTGGTGCTTAGGGAGTGATATATGTATCATTCATAATGTAAGCAGTTGCAGGTGAGTCAGTTTCGCTGTTGCATTCTATATACAAATAAGTAGATTTTACTAATAAATGGTTTAATACTCTATTAAATAAATAATTTAGGAACAATAAAAAAGGTTAGTCGCTGGAATGCACTCTCTTGCACCACCTTATGAGTACTGGAAATAAAGGTAACGAGGAAAGCAGTGTAATATAAATTACCAGAATCCAGCTAGTCAAAATCCGTAGAAAAAACATGATAAAAAGCTTACACGTACCTTTAACCACTCCGCCGCACTAGTTTTCCATTCAGCGAGCTGGTAATATGCAACTTCTTGATCATCATACATTGAAGGAACTTCGTACATATTATAGACAGATTCATTCCTATATGCAATGTTAGTACTGTAATGATTTAGTCCAAAGAAGTCGGCCGTGCCTCTAATGAGTTTTATTTCTTTTGGAGACAGTTCGGGTAATCTGGATCTTGGAAAACCTTGGGCGGCGCTCTTAGCCGCTACTCTTTCTTTCATCACTTGTGGGTAATCTCCTGTTTCCGAGAAGATTGGGTCGGCATAAACGCCCCACTAAAAAACGAAATTACTTATATAAAACACTCATATAAACACAATAGTAATTCAATGTTTTTATTTTTTTTATTGACACCACCTAACGGGGTAAATAAATCGACTGGTGGTAACTGGTGGACACTTAGAGATTTAAAGCGCTAAGATCTGAGGGGCGCTACCACTGTGCCCATCACCCTTAGACATAAGTTGGTAAGTCCCATGTGCCTGTAATACGAGAAATGAGCAGTATTTCCCTAGCCGAACTCTTTTGAAGGAGCACTACTGCTCTTAAAACAACTAATACTAAACTACTATGTACAGAGAGCTACTTATATTCAAACTTACCTCAAATGCTATTGAGTCTTCGGCAGCTTCCATGTGTTCCTGTGTTTCAGGTTCTATCCAATCAGCGCTTAGGGAAATACCAATCATCCCTCCGTTTGATGACCTGAATTCTTTATCAAACATGTGATAGGTTTTGGCGTGCGCTAGTAGTAAATTCTTCACGCACATATATTCTGCTACACCCGGAATTGTAAGCAACGGCGCCAAAGTACCAGATCCGTAACCTTGATGGCAAATTTCGCGAGGCTCGTTGAAAGTAATCCAATAGCTTACTTGGTCACCGAATTGTTCGAAGGCAATTCGCGCATAGTCCACAAACCAGTCGACAATGTAGGGATTGGTCCATCCTCCCATGTCTTGCAGTTTCTGCGGCAAATCCCAGTGATACAATGTGACCATGGGTTCAATGTTATGTTTGAGCATTTCATCAAACCAATTCCTATAGAATTCCACAGCTTTTTCATTAATATTATCAGGAAAACTTGTTGGTAATAATCTAGACCACGATATTGAATGTCTGTGGTAGTCTACATTAAGTTCTCTCATCATTTCGACATCTCTCTTGTACAAATGGTAAGTATCAGCAGCGACATCGGCATTGTGGCATTCACTAATCAAACATGGTCGCGCATGGCTTACAGTATCCCAAATGCTTGGTGTTCTACCTAAAATATAATTTATACACAGACATGTAAAAAAAGTAATGTATCAAGAACGCCTGCCTACACATCACTCAGACTCCAATCGGTCACGAGATTTTGCTAAGAAGAAAACTTAAGGCTATGGTATAAAATTAGACGAGAAAATGTCATTATCAAAGCAAGGCTACCAAAGCTTTGTGAAGACTAAAAAGCATTTTTCTAAACAACTTACCATCTTCGTTCCAAGCGCCTTCAACTACTAACGAACAAGTTGAGGTACCGAACAGGAATCCGTT